GAAGCATCATCGTCGTCAGCATCATCAACAGCCGCATCATCAGCATCATCAGCATCATCATCAGCATCAGCATCAGCATCATAATCCTCATCATCAGCAGCATCATCATCAGCGGCATCAGCATCATAATCATCATCAGCATCATCAGCATCATTTTCGGCAGCAGCATCGGCCGCCGCGTCAGCATCAAAAGCAGCATCAGCATCATCATCCGCAGCAACATCGGCATCATCATCAGCATCGTTATCATCAACAGCAGCAGCATCAGCGTCAGTAACGGCATAATCATGATAATCAGCAGCATCATCATCATCATCAGCAGCAGCATCATCATCAGAATCAGCATCAGCATCATCAACATCAGCCCCAGCATCATCAGCATCAGCATCAGCAGAATCGCCATCAGCCTCATCACCACCACCACCACCATCGTCCTCATCAGCATCATCCGCCTCATCATCGTCATCATCATCTTCATCAGCATCATCATCAAAATCATCATCATCATCATCATCATCATCATCAGCATCATCATCATCATCATCATCATCATCATCATCATCATCATAATCATCAGCATCATCATCATCGTCATCACCATCAGCATCGTCATCACACCATTGTACTATTCCTCATCCTCCTCCTCCGCCTCCTCCTCCCCCTCCTCCTCCTCCTCCTCCTCCTCCTCCTCATCCTCCTCATCCTCCTCCTCCGCATCCTCCTAGGTACTCCTCCTCCTCCTCCTCCTCCTCATCCTCCGCCTTGTCCTCCTCCTCATCCTCATCCTCCAGATCCTCATCATCTGTATCATCATCGTCATCAGCATAACCATCACCACCATCATCATCATCATCATCATCATCATCATCATCATCATCATCATCATCAGCATCATCATGATCATTATCATCATCATCATCATCATCATCATCATCATCATCATCACCATCATCATCATCCTCATCATCATAATCATCATAATCATCATAATCATCAGCAGCAGCATTATCATCATCATTATCATCAGCGGCAGCATCATCATCAACGCTACCGCCACCAACATAATCATCAGCATATTCAGCGTAGTCAGCATCATCATCGTGTGCAGCATCATCAGCATCGTCGTCAGCATCATCAGCAGCATCAGCACCATCATCAGCATCATCATGATCGTCATCAGCATCAGCAGCATCTGAATCAGTACCATCAGCAGCATCATCATCTGCATCAGCAGCAACATCAGCATCATCATCATCATCAGCAGCAGCAGCATCATCATCACCATCATCATCAGCGTCAGTCTCGGCATCAGCATCATCATCAGAATCAGCATCATAGTCAGCAGCAGCGTCATCACCGTCATCATGATCATCATCAGCAGCAGCAGCAGAATCATGATCATCTTCATCAGCATCACCGTCAGCATCAGCAGCATCATCATCATCATCATCATCATCATCGGCAGCAGCATCGTCATCATCATCAGCAGCATCAGCATCGTCCTCATCATCATCATCATCATCATCATCATCATCATCATCAGCCTCAGCTGCATCAGCATCATCAGCATCATCACCATCATCTGCATCATCGCCCACATATCATCAGCGAAATAATCGTCATCAGCATCAGCATCGTAAGCAGCAGCATCCTCGTCATCCTCATCATCATCATCATCATCAACATCATCATCATCATCATCATCATCAGAATCATCATCAGAATCAGTATCACCAGCAGCATCATCATCAGCAGCATCATCAGCAGCATCATAAGCATCGTCACCCTCAGCATCGTGCTCATCGGCAGCATCAGCCGCATCCTCAGCAGCAGCAGCATCATCATCATCAGCATCAGCAGCAGCAACATCAGCATCAGCATCATCATCAGCATCATCAACATCATCATGATCATCAGCATCATCATCAACATCAGCAGCACCATCGTCATCATCCGCATCATCCGCATCAGCATCATCATCATCATCATCAACATCATCATCGGCAGCAGCATCATCATCAGCATCAGCATCCGCATCATTATCACCATCCTCATCATCAGCAGCATCATCGACATGATCATGAATCATCATCATCAGTATCATCAGCATCATCATCATCATCGTCATTATCATCGTCAGCATCATCATCATCATCATCAGCATCATCATCATCAGCATCACCATCATCACCATCATCCGCATCAAACTTATCCTGCTCCTCCTGCTCCTCCGATTCCTCCTTCTCCTCCGCATCCTGCTCCTCCTGCTCCTCCTGCTCCTCCTGCTCCTCCTGTTCCTCCTGCTCCACCTGCTCCTCCTGCTCCTCCTGCTCCTCCTGCTCCTCCTGCTCCTCCTGCTCCTCCTGCTCCTCCTGCGCCTCCTGCTCCTCCTGCTCCTCCTGCTCATCATCCTCCTCCTCATCCTCCTCCTCCTCCTCCTCCACCTCCTCCTCCTCCTCCTCCTTCTGCTCCTCCTCCTCCTCCTACTCCGCCTCCGCAT